GGCTCCTCCTGGGAAGCGGCAGCCAGCCTGGGTCAGCTGCTGCCAGCTCCCCCCAGGGTCACTCCTGACCCCATTTGCCTCCCTCCGAGGTGCATTTTGGGGAGGGAGGGTGACGGGGTGCTTGTGCAGCGTCCTCCCAGCTCCACAAACGAGAGCTGCCTCCGCACTGCCAAACCGAACACCCGGGCGCTGGCGAGCACGGCACAGACCGGGCTCTTCTCTGTGGCCACGGCAGGTCCGGAGCCCCCGCACCTCTCCCGTGCCGGCGGATGCTCCCGCCCCCATCTCCCCTCCCTGCCAGGCAGCGAGAGGACTGAGCACGGAGCCCACCTGCTATTTCCCACCATCAACCCTGGCAGCGACACATCCCTCTGAGATGACGTTTATAAGCAATTCCCAGCCCCCAGCAAAAAAACAATAGAAATACGATAAGCAATCACTGCCTGCCTCTGCTAAACGCGTCTCCCCAGACAATAGGACAAGTGACAGAAAGACACGACTGAGCTGCCGAGTGGCTCCCGCAGCTCCTGCCTTGTGACATTAACGCATTTTAAGTCGCTTTGGAGCAAAACACACTGAGTAAAAGCTGAAATAAACTGCCAGCTTTCAGTGCCTGGTATCACCCGAACCGGCAGAGCTGACCTAGAAAACCAAGGGATTTGTTACGGCGAGGTTCTGATGCTTTTCTAATTGTGCTGCGGAGAGTCCAGAGCAGGAGCCCTGAGCCAGGCTCTGGTGGTTATTTATCCCACCCATAGGTCACCCCCATGGAGGGGGACAGGGATGGAGGGGAAGCACTTGACCAACAGGCGAGGACGCACTGAGGGCGCAATTCAGTGCGCTGCAAAGACAGCTAGCAGCACCCCCAGCCCAGTCGGAGCAATTAAGGGCAGCTCTGAATATGTTTATCAGGTTTAAACCCTGATTATTTATCAGGTTTAAACCCCGACTGGCTCTTTCTACGCTCACCTTCATGCTGGCTTGGGAAGCAGCTCTGGAGCAAAGCCCCCCCCGGGGAGCAGGGCTGGTGGCTGGGGGTGCAGGGGACACGGTGGCGGGTGTGTCACAGCACAGGGCTCCCCACCACAGCCACCCGAGCGGCACCATGAGTCCCGCGGTGGGAGTCGACTGTGCTGCCCCAGCGTGCGGTGCTCGAGCGATGCCTCGGCCCCCAACCTGGAGTCCTGGGGCGGCCCCA